AGCGCAGCAAAACTTGTCAGTTCGAGGTTGCACATCGATTGGGACCCTTTGCATGCCTTTGCCACGGTGAAACAATTTGGTCCAGGCTGGCAGGATGAATTGGAGAAGCCAAACAATCCTTCACCTCTGAAAAAGAAACGGCGCTGGAGAAGGTGTCTATAGATATCTATGATCATCTATGGCGATGGCGTCTGGCCTATAGACATCTACGCCAACTTTCACCGTCTCCTTTGACCTAACTCTTCACCCTGTCCGATTTGTCGGTAGTCGGTAGATCACTATTTGGGGCATCAGCAGCTACGGCTGGGGCTTGGTCCTGCGACAGGTTTTAGAAGCATGGTGAACGAAAAAAAGCCATGGTCGTGCCGCTTCCAAAAAAACATCAAAACAATTACATGTGAGTAATGGACAAAAAACTATGGTTAAAGGAACCTGTCGGGATGGCCATGGTCGGCCTCACTTGCCCTCTACAGGCTAAAGGAACCAGGGGGGCCGACCCACACCAGAGAGTTTGTCAAATCTTAATGTGTATCCTGGGAACGCCGTAGAACTTGTCTGTTGACAGTTGCAAGGCGTCTACACTCCTCCTATTGGTAGGTAAGCAAACGAACACGCAGTGTTTTCGGGGATCTTCTTTGGAGACCTCCGGATGATTCCTGATGCTTTATTTGGGAGTTCGTGACACCAATTTGCAGAACCCTTTCTACTTGGTGCTAATAACCTTGAGATTTGCTCGGCCAAACTTGGATGTTCAATATGAAAGGTGCCCAGATGTTGAATGTGTTGTTCTATCTCCATGTCAGAAGGCCCCAATGAATGTACACCCTCCAAATCTAACCTTGCCGTGGAAGAGTGAGCAAAGATCGAGAAGAGAGGGTTTCAAGTGAGCGACAGTTTGGGCCATGGATTTCTTTGGGCCAACCAATTCAATCGTCCAGATGCAATCCTTGCATTACAAAACGATTCAGTTTGTAATCACGAAGCGTCCAAGGTCGATTTCTGACCTTAAATATAATATTGATTCATATTAAGCATCTTCGAATCTTGGAGGACCACACGGTCATACACTGTTTATGCATGTTTAAATGTTCACAACGTCTAACAAATACATGCAAATACTATAAGTACTATACTCATGTGGCGCTGGGATGCGCTGGGACCCCCCCGTGGGTGAGGCAGTATGGATCTCATGGTGTTTTGGGACATCATCCAGCAGCAACCCCACGTCGAATGGACTTGGAGGATGAACTTCCTTTCGCTGCGAAAGCATCTGTTTCACTCTCTGTTTCTACACAGAAAAGACATCGAGTTTCTCTGAGGCGCCGAGCTAAAAAAGCAAAACCCTCCGACATGGCTTACTTCTCCTCAGCCACCGGGGGAGAGTCTAACTCAGTCTGGGTGGGGCGGAAGACTGGAAACAGCTGGTGATGGGGGGAACCTTTCCGGTTTGTGGCACACTTTAAGTGATCTCGAACGGCTCCTAGCTGCTGTGACGCTTGATTTCACTTCAGCGGGGGGCCACACAGAATAGATTAAACATAGATTATTGATAGTATATATTGATGCATATGTCTCTGTGGGATGGCCATGTGGCACTTTTTGATTTCGCCAATCTTTCACACAATGGTCCAGAAATACCGAAACCAGGCGGAGGTGTCTTTGGGATTGGAGGTGTCTGTGCGTCTCCTACTGATCCCTGAACCGAAAAGGGGCGCACTCTTACTGTTGATATGGTATGATACGGTCACATGCGAACGTCAACAAACCATTAGAAATTCGCAGCGGAAAACCGGAGTATGTCTGCATGTCGAATTCTCTGCAACAGCCCGGGACGCTTCTCACCGGACGTACCCTTCTCACCGGAGTTTTCCGGACGGCTCCGCTACGTCGTGTCGCGACCTGGGTCGTCTCGGCAGGTTTGCCGGCACCTCTCATCATCTGCATGAATTCCTGGCCCGAAGAGACGTTCCGACGGAGATATGGGTTGCCGGGATTGGGTGAGAGAGAGAGAGAGAACGAAGATGAAAGAAGTCCATCATGACCCACCAACAGTCACATCCATCACTTAAAGCTAACAGAATCATCCAAGCAACATCCGTGATCGCGATGATTGGATGCGACATCTACATCCCAACCAAGGCACACTCGAGGGGAACAAGGCTTTTCTCCTTCGACTTCCCCAGGCGTTCGGCCCGGCTTGCCACGAAGACTGGACCATGGCATCACACCCCGTGATCACAAGCGGCATCCAGAAAGGTGTCATGGTTGGCATCGCTGAAAAGGTGGATTGCTGAACCTTGGTGTCCTGGAATGGCTCCATTTGGTTCAGCATACCTTTTCAATCTACCACCTGCTCCTTGAAAAGCTCTTCTTTCTTGACCAGGAGCATCATGCTGAACTATATGATATGATACTATATGTCTATATCATATCTGCTTGCATGGCGGGGGCAGGAATCAGAGATCTCCGGATCTGGGTGATCCATGGTGCCCCCCGAACATGTGGATCCACTGCTGCTTACAAAAGCCACACGTATCAATTCACGTGTCACCGAAGGGCCCCGAATCAAGGCCTCTCGTCCGTAGTCAAGAAAAAACAGGACACCGGAAGCACAATGCAAGATGTCTTCAACACTAATAATTAACATCCTTAACACATAGAATAACTCTGAGGACAGCTACCCTTGGCAGCGTGGTTTTCGCCTTTGCTCTGTGCACAACTGTCCGCAGGTTCGGTTCAGCTGTCAGCAGGCCTTGAAGTCAATGTAGCCATCGCCATTGCCGTCCACCTCCAGCATCAAATCCGCCAAGGCCTGGCTTCCATTTTTGCCAAAGTGAGGTGATTTATGTGTCACTGCCATGAATCTTTTTGCTCATCGCCAAACGCATTGGTCTGGGCCTTGCATGGCCTTCCGTCTGAGTTCCAGAAAGGAGGAAGGAAGCTTTCTGATGAAGCCACAAGTGGTGCTTGGAAGATTGTGCAGGTGAGTGCCATGTTATGGAAGGGCAGCTTGATTGCTGCCGTAGCCAACCATGCTGGAATAACCGGAGTAGTCTAGTAGTATAGTTCAACACGGAAAGCAATAGGGTGAAGGCACGCCCCCACAACGTGTATGGATATATGGTGGATATATTATGGGCATAATATAGTGGTCCCCCCAATAGATAGAAACGGTTTCCAATACTTTTGAAACAACTTTTACTTGATTTTTATCTATATATCTGGGGATCTATAACATGTATTTTCAAGTCAGACTCATCTCATGCCCACCCAAGGCTCCCTTCACCGAACCTTAGCACCGACCACTTCCTCCACATCATTGCTGCAGAGCACCTTTGGTTGGGGGCTGCTTCCCGGAACCGCTCCGGGTGGTGAATCGAGTTCCACTGGAGACGGGAGGACGAGAACTCGGCGATTCTTCCTCCACTCCCCTGTTGAAGGTTGTGGAGTCTAGCGAGGCCGTCACCTCTGATTTAAAGCACAATCCACTGCCAAAGAATCCAATTCAACGGCGAACTCGAAAGGGTCAGCTGAGCTTCGGTGTGATTCTTTCCCCAAGTGCCTCTTTCCCAACAAGATCTTCAACATTGGTTAAGACCAACAACTAACCCACCAACAACCCCATTTACATCATAAGGTCAGTGAGAATTCAGGCATAAACAACACATTTACATTGACATACATTTACTGTTAACATGGGATGCTTACCTGGGATATCATCGTTGATATTCAGGGTGAGGGGTCGGGGTCCCTATTTGGTAGTGAATTTAACTACATAATGACAACGACCAACGTCCTATCTCTAAAAAAAAAGGACCCATTTTGTAGAGAGGGGCAAGGCCAATGGTACAAAATGGGGGGGGCTCAAGGCGCCTGATTGCTACAAAATGATATGCCATGCAAAGGGCAGGTACTCATTTAGTAGTGAAGATGAATGCAAACGGCGGGTCCATTATGATTCTCTAGAAAATGAGGGACCTCCTCTACAGAATAAGGGGGGCCCAACCCCTTAATCATGCATTTTCAATTTTCCTTCCACTACAAAATGAGTACACCCAACCCTGTTGCAGCCTACAAAATGCTGGGATCCCAACCACTTGTGCTACCAAACCCCTCTACTACCACATGACAATTCTGTAGGGGGGTTAACCCCCGCATTCTGTAGGCTTAATATCGTCGAGGATCCTGGGATCCACTTCCAAACTTGACCCTTCACATTTAAGGCTTTGACTCGGGACTCTCACTTTGATTCACCAAAAAAACTCTCAATCCGCCGGATTCGCATCGACATTGATCGCCGCTAGACCTGCTGCAATTCCTCCATGGAGATCTTGCCGTCGCCGTTCCTCAAGACCGAGTCCAAAACCGTGGCGCTCACCGTGAGCACCACATCAATTGATCAAATCTATCCGAAAGTCTTGGCCCCATTGACGTTGGTTGTGGCTTGCGGTTGAACACCTGCATAGAAAGTAACATATCGTTAGGCTGCCGAACCCTCTTTGTGTACTGCCATCTGAATCAGACTTTTGCTAAACGTATTTGTGGGTTTGGTATGCCTTCTGCTATATTCAAGGCTCCTAAAGACCCTGGACTCTCTATTCAGCTTTGATTAGCAAAAAACGACGCCCTGGCCTGTCAAATACTCGGAAGGCTGACCAGCAAACATCCTCTTGGATGTACATCCTGCGAAGGAAGCTGAAAGGCCGCTGGCATGGACCTGTTTGAATTCTGGGCCGGTGCGTATATAGTGCTTATAGGTCTTAAAGAATGGCCGTTAGATTTGCAGCATCTCCAACCACATCTGTTTTGGCGGGACACACATTAAGTACGTAAGTATTTATATATTTGTTTAATATTAATATGTTAAGTAATGTCTTATTCAGAAAAACACTATACTCACCACTGCCTGTAGCCAACTCTCAGGCAAAAACAGTTTGAAAACTGCAAAGCAACATAGAAAATGAGAAAAAACAAACACAATGCGCTGAACCAGATTCCAACTATTCCAGTACAGCATTTGGATTGCAGGATTTGCCTAGTAACACCATGCACCACAGAACAACCACAATCAAGTACAGCAAACACCACTCCATCGTTTCCGGCAAGGTGGCTTCACCCCAAATCCATGGACGCCCGCCACTCCGTTCATCGTTTCGGCGGCTCGTCGCCGTGGCTGTCCTCTTGTCCAAGGTCGCCGCAAGGAACTCCGTGTAATCGATATTTCCACTGCCGTCGGAATCCACCTCCTGGCGGTCGTGGGGAGGGCCAAGGTGGGGTTGTCGTGGGGAGTGCCAATCTCGAGATTCGCACATAGATGGCAGCGATGTTTTTTCAAGAAATGTTCATCTAATTAAATGTGATTCTTCCTAGGAAAGAGAACCCTCGGGGTGGAAACTGGTGGAACTAATGGGGGTCTGAATTGCAACAAGCATATGCAAGTCTCTTCGGGGTGTCTCTAAACAGCGTTTGGGTGCCCACATGACCAAAACATCCAAGAACTCACCAACTGAGCCGTGTTTTTTTTGCGTGGTCTGGGGGACAGCCACCTCCGCGAAGCTTTCGCCACTTTCTCTCCCCAAACGAATTTGCCTATGTGAGGGTGGCTTATGATGTTGCATGTAAGAGGTGCTTTCGCAAAAGGCTTCGCGAGGTTTTGTGTTAGCTTCATTCTACAAAGCACATGAGCATGAAAAACACGGCCTTCGCAAAATGCCTTCGCAACGAAATGGCTACGCAAGTCTTTGCGCATCATGAAGTGAGGAAATGCTTTTGCAGCCATGACAAGAGTTCCTTCTAACATGTAGCACCGTGTTCCAGGAAAAAACAATGCAACTCAACTGAAAGTTCAGGCCTTGCCAACCCGTGTGTGTGTGTCCACCCCTGGACAAAGGGTTTTCCACCGCCACTTCTTT